AAGGTTATGGCAAGGGTCAAAGAAAATATATGTAAAATACCTACAAACTTTTTAAAATATAGTCATCATTCGATAAATAAGTTGTTCATATTATTCTATTGAAATATCATGATACCATTAAAACAAAGAGAAGGCTTAGCTCTACATAGCTATAGACCTCATCACAGTGTGTCAAGTGCTCAGATCCAAGCACAAGACCCAAGCATTCAACTTTGAGTCAGTAAGCAGTCTCATGATACAAGATCAGAGCACTAGGCTTTTAAAAAGTCTTAAGTTGAACCAAAGAGTAATCTTTTTTGGAAGTACCGAGGCTGTCTTTCATACTGCAAGAGTGGCAGGAAGCACAGAAGCACTGTTGATAGTCTGCAGGGCCTCGGTGTGCTTCCAAGACAAGACGCCTTTCGGTAGGAATCAGAATTTAGCTTAGGATATATCTCAATACAGACAAACAAACTGAGGGATGGCAATTTGGCTACAGATGGAAAATTATCCAAGGCCAGTATCTAATAGGTTCCCATGAGGCAATAAGGAACCTCTAATTAACAGTTTTGCTGCAGATGTCAAAAAGGCAGTACTATAAACATCAAACAAATTTACAGGTTCTCAATTTAACATTAAGGACCAACCATCCATATGTGCATAGCAAGAAACTCTTTCAATATGTAATTAAAACACTTTAAGTCCAACAGTACCACAATATATTTCTACAGGAATTTTGCTACTAAATATTTATTTGGATAATATATTAGATTTTTAAAGCTTAATACAGATGAATTGTCCACTAAAGTTTGCTGTGCTATGATTAGACCTAATATCTAGGGAAAAAAAATTAGGTAATCCCTCCATAAAGAAGGGGGGGAACCCTAAGAATTAGCATTGTTACCTTTATATATAAATCATACCTACTTAAATTATTTGAGTCAGGTAAGTAAAAACTCAGTTGGGGTATTAGTTCAGAAAAATCTAGATTTGGGACCAAACGACTTGGGTTAAATTCTCCTTTCACTTCTTACCTGTTCTGTTTGTTTTCTTAGACAAATCACTCTAGGCTTCAGTTTCTTCATCTCTATTATGAGAATAAAACTGCCCTACCTGGGGGCCGGCCCCGTGGCCGCGTGGTTAAGTTCACGCGCTCAGCTTTGGTGGCCCAGGGTTCGGATCCTAGGCACGGACATGGCACCACTCATTACGCCATGTTGAGGTGCCATCCCACATGCCACAACTAGAAGGACCCACAACTAAAATACACAACTATGTACTGGGGGGATTTGGGGAGAAAAAAGCAGGGAAAAAAAAAAACTGCCCTACCTACCTACCCCACAGGGATCACATAGGGATCAAGAGAGAATGCTCTGTATTGATACCTGGGGAATGTCACAGTACCCCTATGACTCCCCCAGCCCCCCTCCCGCCGCTCCCCCACCCTCCACACCCCTACCCCACTCCCACCCACTCAGGGCAGTCAGCCTTTTAGCCGATCTGTATATTGGAGTGCCACGTAAGATTCTGGTTGGAAACTCCATTCCACTAAAAACATAAGTTTGAAAAAAGCTACATTATACAATAGCAGTCCTCACATAAACAACTAAAAAACAAAAACTTATCAAAGACGTGCAATTACTCTAAAAATTATTGAAAGTATCTCTGGTTTTTCATGCCACAAAGTATCCATTAAGAATACATAAAACTACGTCAATAATGACTGCTGACTAATCAAACTGATTCAACTAAGGAATACCTGAGACATTTATAATGAAATTAACGAGTGAAATTTATTCCAAAGAAATTCCCTCATAGATTCAAAATAATTATGTTATGATTACAGAATTATTAGTAAGTCCCAGAACTGCTGCCAGAAACACAATTATGCCTAAATTTAATACAAAGAGCACTTTAAAACACTTTAGATATTACATTTTAAAAACATAAGCCTCTCTGTATTGTCAGGGAAGCAGGAGACAGCAGTGTTGTAAATACACATCCTTGGTTGAGCAAGTTTTAGCTTGGCAATGTTCCAAAAAAAGGAAAAAAAAGGACTTACGATAGACACAAGATTAAGAAGTTTGTTTTGTTTTACCATTCTTGAGAGTTAAGTGAACGTAGAATAAAAAGGCTGAGATATGGTAACAGATCAGCCTCTGCTCCAGAGAAATAAAATAACGAACTAGAAATCCTTGCTATTTTTGTTCACACTGCATTAAAGATTTTCATGATCCTCTCTAGATTCCTTGAGCAGCAGCTATTATCTGCTGGACTTACATTTACTCTTAGCTTTTATCTTGGTGCCTCCAGTGTGGACATTCTTTCATGTCTATTTACTTTGCTGGATTCACAGGAGACTTCAGCATGACAGCAAAGGGGTGCATGTAAAACAGTGATCCCAAAACAAAGAATGAGTGTGAATCTGCTGGCATGCAATGATGCTGAACTACCAAGAGAACATGAAATAATTTGGTTGCACTAAATCCTTCCTTTGCTTTCATGCTTGCATTTATTTATAAAATATTAAGTGTTAGCAAAATCCTGGGCAGACACAAGCCTGGCAGCACCAGTTTCCTTATTTAGAAGATTGCCATAACTTTCTCAGTTAGATGTCATTCATGTAGAGATATGCCTCTTGTCAAGAAAATACAAACTTAGAAAACACATCAATTGATGATTACATCAATTGATGATTCCCTTAAACTGAAATCTCTCTTTTAAAATGGTGCTTGACTTATAATTATTTTTCTAGAATACATCTAATGTATAATGTGAAACAGAATTCTATTTCTAAAACTAAGTTGTTTAAAAGAGTCTCCATAAAGAATCCTAGTATCCTTTATTAAAGTTACTCTCCACAAATTCCAAATTTTAGACAATGAGTAAGAGTTAGCCATATCTGGCCACTATCAAGAAGGGACAATTTCATATACGTAGAGTAATAATAAAATTCTAATACAGATAGATTGTAAAAATACTCTCAAAATTTCTACTTTTTAGAATGGCTAAAATTTAATTTCATGGCTTTAACTTCCCTAAAAAATAATTTAGACATTCTAAAGTCAATATAGTTATGAGAAAACACAACAAATACTATAAATAACTGAAGATCAAAGACCACCTAATTCACAAGCAAAACTTTAAAACATATTTCCTATGAGAATCAATATTTAGCCATTCTTCCCTCAGAAGAACAATCTAGTCAGCTGCTGGGACTCTAAAGCAGGTTGGCAGAGACAGCCTGCGGATCAGGGCTGTGAGCATGACCCTCCTCTTTCCGGCTTAGAACAGGTTTGGTCAAGAGCATTCTCCTCATGAGACCCTCCTCCCAGAATCACAAAGGTCAAGCACATGGCCAGCACACTTTAAAATGCTCATCAGCCCCTTTTTGCAGTGAAGCTACAGAACTGAGAATGGTGTAATGAAGCCTGAGTTTTAGTTTCAACTCCACTAGTGATCTTTCTTTATAAGAAATTTAGCATTTCTGCGCCCGCTTGAACATTTGTCAAAAAGAGACTGCTCAGCAGCAGTAATTAGTTGCAGCAGAAAGTGACCCTGGTTCCCATTCCCCGGTGTTCTAGGGACTAGATGACAAGAATTCTTGGCGAAGTTGAAATCAAAAGGTTCACAGGCAAAATTCTGCTGTGTCAGTTCCTTAATGCATGTGCCCTCAATGCAATACCACCCAAAAATGAGTTTAAAATCAGAGGTTTTTCACAAGAAATACTGATTAATCAGAAAATGGTAATGGTCTCTACGTACACACAGTAGTCTCCAGGAACAATCTGTGAAGGAGGCATCTGTCTGCAAATGCAGGCTATAATATACTTGGGCTTCACCCAGCAGGCGCCTGCGCCTCTGGCCCTACTGCTCAGTACCCAAGTTTCATGCTCCTGGAGTCTGTCAACATTTCCCCAGGTGAATATGTCAGTTACTCATTCATTCAAGCCTCTACTAAGTATTCATATCATCTCTAGACTGATGACTCCACAATATGTATGTCAAGCTTGGACTCTCCTCCGAGCTCCTGCCTCATTTTATCAACAGTTTACTCTATTCCTGCTTGCTGATCCCACCGTGCCCCACGGTGAACTTTGGAAAGGCCCCACTCTAAATCTCCCCCCGCCAAGCTTTCCCATCTTCGTAGCTAGCATAACTGTTCACAGCATTGCTTAAGGTAAAGCCTTGAATAGCTCTCTTTCCCTCCTTATGCCCCAAATCCTCCCACCACCTCACAAGCAATCCAGAGGCAAACACTGTCAAGTCTACTTCTACAGTCTACCTCAAATCCATCCACTCTTCTCCATCTTCAGCAGCATCATTCTTGTTCAAGCCACCATCATCTCAGGCCTAGAAGTCTCTTAACTTTCTCTTCTCATCTCCTTTTGCTGCCCTACAGTCTATTCTCCACATAAGGGCATCTTTTAAAACATAACTTAGATCATGTCATTCCCTTAACTTAAAACCCTTGAATGACTCTCACTTGCATTGTGAGACTAAAACCCAATTCCTTACTCTGCCCCTTAAGATCCTACATAGTCTGGTCCCTGCCTGCCTGCCTCTCCAATCTTATCTTGGGCCACCCACCTCCTCACTGACTCCATTCCAGCCAGGCTGACCTTCTTACAGTTACTCAGATATCCCATGATGACTCCTTTTTCCCTAGGATCTTCATCCAGGTTATGACCGCTACACTAGCATTCTTTATATACATGGTTCCTTCCCATCCTTCTGGTCTCAGTGAAATGGCATCTTCTGAGAAGGGCTTTCCCTGAGGACCCAAGCTAAAGTGGGGCCTCCATTTTAATTTCTTCACAATACCCTGCTCATTTCCTTTTTAACCGTTTTTTAAATTATTTGTAACTACATATTTACTTGTTCATCTAGCATCTTTTTTGGCACAGAGTAGGCATTTTAACTTTTCCGGTGAATCAATTAATGAGGAGAAATACCTTAGGTAAGGCCAATTACAAATATTTCCCACTGGCTAATATAAGATGCAATAAAAAAGATCTTACCTTGTCAATTTTTTTCTTTTTAACAGGGGGATCGAACCTATCATTGACTCCAAAATACTGAGTAAGCTCCTTCCACTGGGTTTCCCTCGAGGACTGCTCACTGCAGGAAGAGAGAGAATTACTTATGTTTTACACAAAATGTACTATTTATATTTTTATTGTTTTTAACTGGTAACTACAATTATATAGCAACAACTAGTTTCTATGTTTCAGAGGTAAGTAGGTCAACTATTTGTACAAGCACTACAATACTGTCTAGAATAGACAATATTTCAAATTCTACCTACCTCCGAGATTCTTCTTCATTCTTCAATTTACCTGAAAAGAATTCACAAACTGTCAATATCTAAGTATTTGATTGTTGCTTCAAAATTGTTCATCAAAAATTGTTGAGCTAAATTAATCACAATTTAACATTAGCAGTATTGACAATTAGCCTGAATTAAAACAAAACACCTTTTCTGGATCGTTTTCTTTTTTTCTTTCTGAATCTTAAAGTTGAGGTTTTCTGTTCAGAATGTTTTTTATGCAATTCTTGAAATCTCTATATAAAAGTAAAAAAAAAGTGAGATGCAAATATATTCTGAAGCAAAGCATACATTCAAAAAACACCAAACATATTAAGTAACAAAAATAATTATATTCTAGCATTTATAAAATATAAATTTAACAAAGGCAGCTGAGTTCTTCTTGAGATATGCTATTCTTCAAAACTCTCTCAAAACCTGAGTTGTTATCTTCAATTATTTCTAAATAAATCAATCTGATAATCTGAGAGTAAAACTCAATGACTCATACAGACGACAAAGAGATAAAATTAATATATAAACTCCTTATGTATTATGTTAGGCAAAGTAGCTAATTCTACTAAATGTTTTTTCTTCCTCTTTTTATGAAAAACAAAACAAAAATGAAACCAAGTATCTGAGTGGCCAGTGGGTTGACCACAGACCCAGGGAATAATAAAGGCATTCTGAGCCAATCCTCCCTAACTATTCCCTCCCAGGAACACACACATTCTGACTGTGGCAGAGACACCCAGGAGCAGGCACAAACGCACAGGCTTTCACAAGAACAGCAGAGAAAACCTACATTCCACGTGCTGAAAGGAATTCCAGAGGGACACTCTTCATATGCATTCACATTTGCTTCTCCTTTGGCTTCCATTCCATCTGTAGGGAAATCTGAGCTCTCTGTTTTTGTTATGGTCCCATCTTCTTTATCTTCCTGTAAGTTAAGTCCAGAATTCTCTAACGTGGCTTCATCTTCAGAACTCAACTCAATATCACTTTCATTTAGGCCAGGAGGTAGCAGCCCACTCCACATCTTTTCTTCTAAAGGGAAAAAAGATGAATTTAAACATATAAAGAAGAGATGGAAAGAATTTTAAAACCATTAAAAGACACCCCAAGAGTCAAATAATTATACCAATGGTTTGGGAGCAGTCCATCTAAACTTTTTTAAGATCTAAAATGGAATGTACCCTCCATATTAAAATAATTAAAATCTTCACTTGTATAAATAAAAAAAGTGTAAAGCAGTTTAAGCAAGTTTGTGTAAAGACATTCCTCCAGATGAATGACTTAAGGAAAACAGCACTTTGATTCTTTAACAAATGGATAATTTTGTCTAAAAAAGGAAATTCAGTAAAAATATTCATTGCTCAAGAATGTTAAGACCCTAACAATATACACTGCAGACAATTTAAGAATTATACTACTATATTTCAAGCTATAACAATTTGAGAAGAAAATAAAATTAAATGCTTCACCTGTATTTGGTATAAAATTTTCAGGGGACTTATTGTCTAAGGAGCAGGAAAACAATTATTCAAAGGAAAATTTTTAAGCCGTGCAAGTAGCTTGAAGAAAGTATGATGATAAAAAGGATGCCCTAGTTTTAAATTTTATGTTTGCTAAAATAACACTAAATGGAGTATAATCCTAACAATTTAACAAAAATGTACAGCTTTTCTGTAACAATACTGTATTTGGGAAACAAATGTTAAAGTTCAGGATAATATTTATCACAGATATATAGTCCATTGGTAGAGGGAACCATTAACTACTGTTAATAAAAATGATTTAAAAAATTAGAGTTGTAATCATTTGCTAAAATTCAGATAACTGCGTACCTTTTCACAATCGAGCTCCACAGCACAGTCTATTTTAGCATACACACTGAGCTAAAACCATCTGAACTAAAACCATCTTAGCTCAAAAGATGTCTAAAATAGAGAAGCTGGTTATACTGCTCATGATTTACTCTTCTGAAGAAATAAAATGGAAAGATAGAAATCGTTCTTGCTGAGTTTTCTGCCTCCTAGTGTGATGAACCAGTAAGAAAACCACCCCCATTCTCTCTGAGACAAAGGCATCAGGATTTTGCATTACTCTGAATAATGGATGCCTGAGATCTTTTAAGGACCTCCTCCCAGGTCCAAAGAATCAGATCTTACTTTGTGAGGTTTGGGTCCAGCCCCATCAGTTGCTGGCTCTCTGAAACATCCTCATCAAAATATTCTCTTGGCTTTTTAAGAGGAAGGGCTCTGACATCTAACTGCTCCAATTGGAATCCTAATTCCACATACACTGGTGGTGTAAGGGAGTCATTTTTAACACCTCGGCCCCTCAGTTTTTCCTCTGGATGCAGGGATAATTATACTGCGTACAGGGTTGTCCTGAGGATTAAATCAGATAAGCCAGGAAAACAACACAGGTTTAGGATGTTGTAGGGGCTCGATCAATGCTAAGTTCTTTTCGCTATTACTATTATTTCTGCGGCCACGGACTGCATTTTTACCATTTCTGTCATGGGTGGCAGCATTCATAAGGTAGTTTTGAAGTTTCTAATGTTTCAGGTGCATTCACTTAGCAAATGATGCAAATAATTTTGTTCCCTGAGTTCCAAGTATGACATGAAGTTTGTATAGAAAATGCTGGTGTGTGGTTTTCTGAAAGGAGCAATAAAACCAGAAACAAATTACCAAGAAGACAATGGAGCCGAAGCTTCAAAAGGTTACTCCCTTGCACAGGCTTTCCAAAGCACTATACTTAATTTTCTATTTAGGATCTGTATTCCTTTTTTTAAAGAGGACACCCAAAATTATATGAGCTGCAGGGCCCATAAAACCTGGATCCATCCCTAAACCCGGTCTGAAGATTTGAAAAGTTGTAACGGAGGAAGTCTTGAGATACTTTGCTAGCACATACAACAGCATGTAAAATATGCAATATTGAAAAACGGATGTTATGCTATTAATAAAAATACCTCTATTGTTCTGAGGAGCAAAGAGAGGGGAGCAACAATAAGCTCCAACATGACTTTGACACTGGCATATAATATACCTTTAGGCTCATTATCCATTTCAGGACTTAAAGATTGTAACAAATTTCAGATTTAGCCTTCTCAGCATAATTGGGGTTCTATGTTTGAAACCAGTGTTCCCTTTCCCTGTCCATAGTGTCTTTTGCATACCTACTGTGTGCCAGGCACTCTTCAAGACACGAGGACAGCAGTATACAAAACAGGCAAAAACACCTAACCTCACAGAACCGACATTCTACACACATGGCAAGCTTCTGTCCAGCAGCGGCCAAGCACCGCTCAGCTGTGGCTGCTCATGAAAGACGTGCCTCTCAGATGGGCACAGGTCTTCCACTCCACCACTGCTTCACCAGCTCTGCAGGGTGAGTCTATGCTTTGGGCACCCAAACGTGCTGCACCTTCGGGAGCAGTCTTGCTTGCCCTGGACTCAGCCCTCAAGCAGTTCTCCATTTTTGATCCCTTTTTGGACTTCCTCAAAATCATCTATTTTTAGCTCTTGCTGATGTGGCATTAAAAAAATGCCTTCAGGATGGCATTGGCTGGTATGATAATTCCTTGTGTGTGCCCATGGAAAAAAGAAAAATTAAAATAACTTTTTAAAAGTGGACTCTATGTTCAAATCCACAAAATAAGGCAAAATTCAAATAAGGTATGTTTCTGAACTCAGTTCCTGAACATCTTTAAAGTGATGTGCTATTCTCTTAAGACTGTAAAAAAAAACACACAAGGACAACTTGGTGGCCACTGATAAACACACAGGACTCACTGAAGAGGCTGCAAAGTGGAGTTGCCCACGTGAGCAATGGCTCGACTGCAAATCAGCCAATATGGAGTGGCTGCTTTGTGACTCGCTTTGGGCTCATGTTTGAAAACACTGTCTGTCTCTTCATAGCATATACACGTCGTTCACACATGTACAATTGTACTCCGGTATCAACTGGTACTCTGTTAGGCCTCCTGTCATTCCTGTTTTGGCTGCTCTGGAGGACGGTCCTCTATTTTTTTGAAGTGTCTCTCCCCCCACGTCTTTCAGAGTGTACTCCTTTATTTGAAAGCCGTTCACTCCAAATTACCCCTTAAATGTGAAGCTTACTCAGGCATTCTCAAGACATGTGATATACCTGAGAACTGGAAACTAAGTTTTTTTAGTAAAGATTATAGTCAGGTCTATGTGACAGTTGATATATTAATACGGAAGCTTTCATTTTTTAGTCTGTAACTCAAATAATTTTTTAATTTAATCATTTTAGCCCCAAAGAAGACGTAAATGATTCAGAATTCCCTTTTTTCTCTGTGGTTTTGAATATCACCTTCTTTATTTCACACACTCTCTACCTCTGGAATTAAGATTTTTTCCATTCCACAATTATTCTTCAGAAAAATTCAGTGTATACTATGTAGAAAACATCTTTTGCGCTAGGTTGACACAACTTTCTGTGAACTGAAAATATTTCTGTGTCATCCTGGCCTGAATGGCTGGGTTTTCTTTCGCCCGTGAAAACCAACCACAGTCAGTATTTAGCATGCTTGGGCAGAGCGCAGTGCATCAACGACACGACACAGTTCAGCAGTTCCTAATCTAAGGTTTTTACAAAGTTCTATGAAGAGACTAACAGAGGTCTCTAACCCAATTTCAATATTCAAAAAACCTGACATATTTTATTTTTCCTCAGACAATATCATCCACTTTTAGGCAAAGGGACTTAAATTCAATGTAGTATTATTCTTCACCACATATGCGTTCATCAGAGGCTCTGATTGGTAGCCACAGATCTGACTTTTATTAAAAAAATAATAACAGTGAATATATTTCAGTAGACACAACCTTTCAAAATATGGCATCCATGGAGATAGCAAATTATAAAAGGGGTTCTGGGTTGTAAAAGGACTGGGAAGGACGGGGACAGCAGGGAAGAACGGTTTTGAAAGTAAGAAGATGGGTTTCTAGTCTTGAACAACATAATTGTAGGCAAGCCACCACATCTGTGTGGGTCTCCATCCTTAAGCTATAAAATGAAGAGCTTGATCAGATGATCTCTGAAATGTACTGCAACTCTAAAACGTTTCTTTATGGATCGTAACATTGTATGCGCTCAAATGCCCAGTCACCTCACTCTCTGCTCTAACACTCCATTTTCTCCCTGGCAGATGCAACACTGATTAAACCCCACCAGCCCAGGAGATAAAGTTCTTTCCTCAACCTAGCTGCCCTGGCCAAGACTGCCGGTCTTCAAGAAGACTGTACTTCAGACAGGACACCTGAAAGATGTTCTGGAGAAAGAGAAGGATACCCCAGTCACAACAGAAGAAACAGAACCAGAAAGAGGAAACAAAGCAGGTCATTGCTATACACGGCATACAAACAAAGTGACAGGCACGGATGTACCATTAATCCTCATAACAACCTTTCCACTAGGAACTGCTCTCTTCTACAGACGAAGTAACTGACTTGCCTAATGGACTGTCATCCACTTATTTTACAAAAATGGAACTCTATGGCCTCAAATTATAAACTTTTAGACAGCAGAATTTCAAGTAGTAATATATTCCTGGAGACAAATATCGGAAAGTGTGTCTGAAGAATGATTCTAGCCTGTAATTCCAGACTTGTTAAAATTTGATGAAGAATTTTTTTCTCACTTTTTAAGTGCAGAAAGCTAGGTAAGATGCTCTACTAAATTGCATGCATCAAGGTCACATTCAGAAGTTTGGGTAAAAATGTCACATTTTCTGGAAGACCAAGCAGCTGCTTATAACCAAAACCCAAAATACATAATCTGAGCAGCATAATAAGAAAATGTCTTCTGTCTCTAATATTCCAGAATTTCAATGCCATTTTCACCAAACGATGCTGTCTTATTTCCCGCGTTTTGTACCCAATTAGAAATAATAGAAATCTCAACCTTGTCTAATCTGAATTTAGTCTTACTTTACAATAATCACAAATCACCACCCCTCACCAATCTGACGACTGTCAACTAATTTAGACAATAATCAGTTTCTGCGACTTGGAATTAATACTTAACTAAAATACTTTTAAGCATGTTTCACCAACATTAATGTAAACATCCTATTTACTTTCATGACTTGAAATAATAAAAATGTTCCCTTTTCTCAAAAAGGTAGGGAAAGTACAACTGAATCACAGGCCTGACTTCGGATTTAAGTTACCCATCTGATTACCCAGATAAACTATTTAGCAGGATTTTGCATGTATACCTATGTATTAATTAAAGACAGTGTTTGTTTAGCCAAGGCCTGGAAAACACTTCCCCAAACACAAGACCCTGTAGGGGGAGATTTACAGTTAACCAATAACATTTCGAGGTTTAAGTCTGCTGCCGCTGTGAGAATACTTACAAGGTTCAAGACTGCAAGAGGGTGGCTCTGGAAAGGTCCACCTTTTCCTGCTCAGCTCACAACCCGAACTCTGCAGGCTCTCCGGCGGAAGAGCCACCCTCCGACCCCCAAACGGGAAGCATCCCCTCCCCGGCACAGAAGCCAGCGCCGCGGATTCCGGTACAGGATGTCTAGCCCGCTGACACTTCATCAGCCGCAGCTCTTTTCCAGGATACAGCAACAGGAAACAGGAGGCTGTTTCCCGATCGAAAGCCTTGTCGCCCTCTCTCACTTTGGCTGGGGTGGGACAGAGAACCCTACTCCGGTCCACAGGCCGGGGAACGCGTCGCGGCGCCCCTTCCCAGCAAGCGGAGGCCGGCCCGGGCCGGGGGCTCGGCAGGCCCGGCGGAGAGGCTGTGAGGCCGCCCACGCCGGCTCCCCCGCTCCCCGCCCCAGACCCTCCCGGACCTGTGCCCCCCGAAGCCCGTGAAGCCCCGAACCAGCCCCGCAACCAGCTGTACTCACGGCACAGGAGCCTGCCACCCGGCAGCCATCTTAAGGCCCAGCCAACATCGCGCCTTCCCATTGGCTCCGGCCTCTCAGCCAATGGGCGGGGGCCGTTCTGGTCCGGGGTCGCCATGGCAACCGACCGAGCTCGCCTCGGCTTTAAAATCAACAAAAAAGGAGCAGTTCGTTTCTTTCTGCTGGTTTCCTATCCCTTCTCTATCATCGTTTCCCGCTTCCTTCTGGACGGTTCTTAAGGCTTTGTTCTTTCCCCGTGCCCTGCCGTCTGCCGGTGCATAGCGTGGGGACAGCGTTGGCCTTAAACCGTGAACTGAGTTCGTTCCTCAAGGAGGAGAAGCGCTGCGGTTGCTCCCCAGGCGCATGTGGGAAGGTTTCCATTCATTCCTCCTTTCCTCCTCCTTCCCTTCTTTCCTCCCTCCCTTCCTTTTTTGCTTTCTGCACATTTTTATCTAGCTGGCACCCAGCCAGCCCCTGTATAGAGGAAGATGGTCCCGACTCCTGCTCTCGTGGGCTTACCATCTGGTGATCGTCCAGGCTGCTTCCCTGACCAGCTGTGTGGCCTTGGCCGAAAGCTTACTGAGCTCCTTTTCCGTGGCAGCCACTGGCTTAGGCCCTGAGGAGGGGCTGGGGGGAGCGTAGAAAATAAGCAAGGAGACAACAAACTAAGAAAAAGGCGCTATAAAGAAAGTAAAACAGAATAATATGATCATGATGGGGGTGGGGCTAATTTAGAAATGCTTCCATTTTCTGAAGTAGTGTTCTATAATAATAATAAGACTATGAATACTTTCCTAATTTCTGGTGTTGTGATGATTATATAAGACAATACACATAAATACCTTAACACATTACCTGGTCCACGTGATGTTCAGTCATAGCTATTGTTGTTGTTAACATTATCAATAACGCCTTTCTTTGAAACATCCTAAAAGTGTGTAAAACTTTTGCATTGCACTCAATAATATATCACAGTTTAGTATAAACAGATGTTTAAGCTTATTACTTATAACCATCCACTACTTCCCCCCCAGTGTCTTCCAGAAGATGTGTCAGGTTTATGGAGGAGTTTTCTAAAACCCCAGAATCATAGTAAAACCTGAATTGGGATGCTAGGGTCCTTTCTGTGCTCACGTTCTCTGATTCTAGGAGAGACACAAGGCTGGGGGATTTAATGATTTGTATGAAACTCTGCTGGCCAAATGGGTCCCCTTCTCAACAGTGTTTTCCCTGAATCCAAATCCTTAGAAAGTTAAGCAGTTAAAGAAAGGATGTGTATGAAAATGCTCTTGTAGCTCTTGCATTGGGCCTCTTACTTGCTGTATTAGTCTACTCAGGCTGCAACAACAAAATACCGCAGATTGGGTGGCTTAAACAACAGAAATTTATTTCTCACAGTTCTAGAAATTAGGAAGTTCAAGATTAGGGTCCCAGCAAAGTAGGTGTCATTCTGAGGCTCTTCTCTTGGCTTGTAGGCAGCAGCCATCTTGCCGTGTGCTCACAAGTTCTCTTTGCACATATGTGTGAGGTGAGAGAGAGAGAGAGAAAGGGCCATCTGGTATCTCTTCTTAAGAAGACACTAATTTTATGGGATCAAGGCTGGATCCTTAAGACCTCATTTAACCTTAATTAATTCCTTAGAGGCCCCATCTTCAAATATAGCCACACTGGGAGTTAGGATTTCAATATATGAATTTTAGGAGTACACAAACACTCAGTCCATAACAAATGCTGATGGTGGAGGTGTAACCAGAATGGGGAAGGAGAGGGCAGAGGGGGAAGAACTGAGTCATGGGGTAGGAAGGAAGTAATGTCAGCCTGTTTAACAACTATCTGGACTGTTTCTACATATATTCTATCAAAGAATACTCATTATTTAGTGCATATAAATGTGCAAGGGATGGGGAAGAATATAATTATAAGTACTTCAAAGGCTTACAAACATCACATTTCTCATTGAAGGTTTTTGGAAAGTCCTACTCCAAAAATATTTTTAAATTGTTTCTCAATGTTAATTTGAAAACTCTCAAATTTCTGATTGTTTTCTCTATCATATTATTGGATTCCTATAATAAATGCAAATAGCTCAGACTTTTCTTGTGATTCTGTTTGTAAGACTTTCAGTCTCTGAATATTATTGTTTTGCCAGTTTTCTGAGAGAAATGTCAGTCATTTGATTTATTTTAATCAATAAATTTACCTTCCCTTCAGCAAATTCTTGCCCTGGAAACCTGCCAAACCATGCATTTTGTGAATGAAATACTTGTATTTGTGAGATCTCTATGAAACATAGAATTATTGAATACCTTTTACTAAATCATAGTGAAATACCTGATGCAGCTAGTGAATTGTGTTTGAATGGTGTTGCATCTGGCACTAATTTCAAACATGTAAGTTTCATTTAAATTCTCAAACATATCTTAAAAAACATAAAGCGGTTTTTCTTTGCCAAGAAATATTATAGTTTATGAATAGTTTTCCCTTATATTTAGTCATTTTTTTTCCTAGTATAGGGATTACAAGTCACACTCATGTTATAAAAGATTAATTGTGGCTTCCTTTTTGGTGGCTGCTAAGTCTCTGATTGATGAAAATTTCCCCAAATATAATGAAATCCCTTAAATAGTTCTCAGTTGGAAAAAGTGAATACGACTTTGTTGAACATATAATAAATATGCCTCTTGCTGAAACTGAGAAAGAGAATAGTTAATTTCCTTCTGTACAAAATGCCTCATTTTCTGCATGGAAGAAAAAGTGGCCTCATGACTTTGCAAAGGAATAGAAACAAGGGAGTTCTGAATTTTAGGAATTGTGTTGATATCCTTCATGATTAAGAAATGACAGTTTCTCTATCTGGATTCATTTTTTTAAATTTGCAAAATGAACCATCTATAAACAATGTTGTCTTCCAGGAGTGTGTTCAACAATTGACACTGTAGCATCGGCAAGAGTTGACATTTGAGGAAACAAAATTTCTGTAACATAGGATGTTGCCAAAGAAAAGCGTTCTCTTTATCGGTCCTGTCTAGTACTTTCAGACTCTTCAAGTCCAAGAAGCTGTACATAGGAAGAGAGGGGGACAGGAAAGAGAGGCTTACTGAGCATTTCTGTCTGCTAGGTGTTTTGCATCTGATATCATATAATGCTATGAAGTAGTTATTATTGTATCCATTTTACAGATAAGGAAATTAGGGCTAAAAGAGTTTAATGTCACACAACTAGTAACAGAACCAGGGTGGGGAGGTTTCACTGGACTCTGAAGCTCATATTTTTCCCACTGTCACACACTGCCCCTTTTAAGGTGAAGTTCCTGATAAATCCCAGCATGGTGCAGTCAATAAAGTATAGACATCATTATTACCCAGTGGGATGTGTACCCAGTGGGAGCTCACAAAAAGATAGGCTTCAGGAGCAAAATGTGTCTTCTCTCTCCATCCCCTCAGTACCTAGTGAGTGATTACATCCCATCAGAGGCATCTTCTTCAATCATTCCTGCTTTGCTACATTGAAATCTATGTTAGTCTTCCTTTTCCTAATACCTGCATCTTCCAAAATAGCCCACTACCTGAGCAATCCCTCTGAATGAAGGAATACATGTAAAGCTTTTAACACAGAGCCTGGCATGTAATCAATGGTAAATAAATATTAGTTTCCTTCCCTTACACACTAAGGAGTGTGTGTGTCTGCATGAGTGTCTGTGTGTGCGTATGTGTGTTGGGGGAAGGAGGATTGAACAGGCAGGCCGCAGAGGATTTTTAGGGCATTGAAAATACTCCATGTGATACCATAACGATAGATACATATCACTAAACATCTGTCCACACTCATAGAGTGTACAACACCAAGACTGAACTGTACTGTAAACTATGGACTTTGGGTGATGATGATGTGTCCCTATAGGCTCATCGGTTGTAACAAACATACCACTCTTGCGGGGGAGGCTATGCATGTGCGGGGAAAATGCATGTATGGAAGAATCTCTACCTTCCCCTCAATTTTGCTGTGAACCTAAAACTTCTCTAAAAAAGTAAAGTCTTAAAAGATCAAAAGAAGAACAATAGTTCATTACCTAAGAAAATTATATGAAATCCAAATTTTAGTGTCCATAAATGAAATTCTATTAGAATACAAAGAACTGAGTACATAAACACTGACAGATTATCAGATTAATGTGTCAATGTCTTCGTGGTCCTTGCCATGTACCCAGTGCTCAGCACTTTGCTAAGGTTTAAGGGGGATACAAATGAAGTAACTGAACTGGCCTGTCAGGAAGCTTGTAGTCTGAGACGTACAATGTGGTTATAAATGATATATTTCACACCATAAGTACTAAAACTGTGAGGTTCATGATGTAAGCAGAAACTATAGAATTCCTAAGAATGGAGAAGCTAGATGGAATTTAGCGCATGCTATTTCCTTTGCCTGGAATAGCTTTCTCTTTTACACCTGTTGAACTTCTTGTCATCCTTCTTGCCATCCTTCAAAACCTAGATCAAACATTACTTCCTAAATTAAATCTTTCCTCACTCACGCAGTTCATGCCTTTCTTCTCTGTGCCTTCATGATAGTTGACACATAGCACAACTAGGGCTTTACCACATTGAAATACAATTAGTTGTCACAGGTCGATCTGCCCCAATAGATTGTGAAGGCACAGTCCTTGTCACATAGCAAGTGTTCAGTAAATGTTTGTGGAGAAGATGGGTGAGTGATAGAAGTGACAATGTCAATGCATGGGATGAAGAGAAATGGGGAAGGTGGTTTTGAAGCATCACGTGAATAATTGCAGAGTGACAGCAATGCTATGGTTTAGGGAAGACATAAGAAATCAGCTGGGGTCAGACTATGAGGGGTTTCCCTAAGGCAAGCAGACAAGTTCTTCCTTGATACAATAGGGGGAATTATAGGATTCTGACCAAGGGAGTGA